AAGGGCATAACTCACAGAGTGGTCACAGCTGGACAAAGATGACTGTGCCCCATGAGGAGCTTTCCCTGTCCGACTATCTGTTGCTTCCTTAGCTATTTTATCACTGCATTGATCACAGGAGGGAACTACCAGCTGGGGCACAATTTGCATCCAGTCCACATCCTTGTGCCATTTTTATCATTGACCAGTCACGGATACAGGCTGTGGCATGCCTACTATGTGTATCAATGCGCTGTTCCTATTCAGTAACACTGAGAATGAGCTTAGCCATTCTCAAATGAAATGTGCTGTAAGCACTAACTCATCGTAAAGCACATAAGCTGAACAGTCTTGTCCATGTCCATTCTCATCTAATGACACAATGGCTCAGGTTACTCCGACATATGAGCAAACATCTCATGTTATGGCCTCACATTGAGGCATTCATTTTGTGACCCCTCAGTTTCGAAGACCACATCCTGCTGACACAGGAAGGGAGAAAGAGGGTGAGAAGTTGGAAATTGAGGCAGATTAGAAGAGTGTGAAGTACAATAAGGAGGGTGAAACAGGAAGGAAGAGGATGATGGAAGGACAGTAAGAATCATAGAATCTATCTTTCCACCAATGGAAGAGTTTCTCTCCATCTACTCACTCTAGACGATTCATGATTTTAAATACCTTGATCAATCTTTTCTTCTCGCACAACTTTGCTTAATGTTCTGGGACTTAGATATCTTAGGCGTGATAGACAGGGAATGTAAGACAGGTGGGGGAGTTGCATTACTGATAAAGGAGAATATCACAGTTGTGCTGAGGGAGGGCACCTTGGAGGGCTCATCCAGTGAGGCTATGTGGGTAGAGTTCAGGAATAGGAAGGGTGCAAATCACATTGATGGGATTGTACTATAGGCTTCCCAACAGGTGACAGAGGAACAGATATGCGGGCAGATTATGAAAAAAAAAAGTAAAACCAATAGGGTTGTTGTGGTGGGTGGTTTTAACTTCCCCTATACTGACTGGGACTTGCTTAGTGCCAGGGGCTTGGAAGGGAGGAATTTGCTAGGTGTGCCCAGGAAGGTTTTCTGAAACAATGTGTAAATAGTCCAACTAGGGAACAGTTCATACTAGTATTGAGGAATGAACCAGGTCAGGTGATTGAAGTTTCAGTAGGGGAGCATTTAGAGAGCAGCGATCATACTTTTTTGCAAGTTTCAAGTTACTTAAGGATAAGGAGTAAGAGTAAGGCTAACTACCACAATATTAGGCAGGAGCTGGGGAATGTAGATTAGGCATGGCTGTTTAAGAATAAATCCAATATCTGGCATGTGGGAATCTTTAAAGTGAGCTGATTAGACTTCAGAAGCAACATGTTTCTGTGAAAATGAAGGACAAGGATGGCAAGATTTGGGAACCTCGGATGACAAGAGAAATTGAGAGCTTAGTCAAAAAGAAAAAGGAGGAATTGATAAGGCTTAGGAAAAATGAAGACAGAGTCCTTGAAGAATACAGACTTAGCAAGAAAGAACTCAAACAAGGAATTAGGACAGCTAAAATGGCAATGAAATGTCTTTGGTAAACAGGATTGAGGAAAATCCCAAGGCATTTTACATACATAAGGAGCAAAAGGGTAGCTAGGGAAAAGGATAGGTCCACTCAAGAACAAAGGGGGGAATTATGTATGGAGTCAGAGGAAGTGGGTAAGGTTTTTGAGGAATAGTTTGCATCGGAATTCACAAAGGAGAAGGACATGTTGGATGGTGAGCCTTGCGAGGGATATGTTGATAATTCTGGGCATGTCAAAATTTTAACAACGGCAGCATTTGGAGTTTTCAAAACCATTAAGATAGACAGCCCTCAGGACATGATGGGATCTATCTCACAATGCTGAGAGAGGCAGGGGAAGAAATTTCTGGGGCCTTGTGTACAAAATCTTTGTATCCTCTTAAGAAACAGGAGAGTTCCCAGAGAACTGAAGAATAGCCAACAATGTTCTTTGTTTAAGAAGGTCAACAGAGATAATCTGGGAAATTTCAAGCTGCTGAACATTACATCAGCAGTAGAGAAATCCTTGGACAGGATTCTCAGGGATAGGATTTACTTACATTCAGAAAAATATGGACTTACTAGCGATAAGCAACATGGCTTTGTGCAAGGAAGGTTGTGTCTCACAAACTGAGTTTTTGAGGGAGTAACAATGATGATGAGGGCAGAGTGGTAGATATTGTCTATATGCACTTTAGCACGGCCTTTGACAAATCCCTCATGGCAGGCTGATACAAAATGTGATGTCACATGGGATCCTGATGAGCTGGTAAGATGGATACAGAACTGGCTTAGTCATAGAAGACAGAGATTAGGGGTGGAAATGTGTCTTTCTGACTGGAGATCTGTGACCAGTGGTGTTCTGCTGGGACCCCCGTTGTTTGTAATATATATGATTTGGAGGAAAACATAGGTGACCTGATTAATAAGTTTACGGATGACACAAAGATTGGGTAACCTGATAGAAGTTATAAGTGGGAGGCTCCTCATCAGTTGTTGTTGCTATCCTTGGACTACACGGGCAAACAGGCCAATTCTGAACAATCTGGCTGGAGTTGATGCAGTAATAGCAGATCAGACTCTGGGATGAACAGCCACTTCTGCTCCTACATCTTTATGGTCTTATTTGGGGCTAACAAAACAAAGCATGACTTTAATACTTCCATCAAATGTCATGTTGAGGTTACTGTAGCTCTTCATCTGATTGTTACAATTGTGAGGTTTATGTAATTATTCTGTTTTATGATTTTATTTTTTGAATTATAAGATTGCTGTATTTTGGGACTTTAGCTTTAAATCAAGGGTAGATAGGTACTATCTAATAATCAGCCTGAATGATTTAATTTGTTTGAGCGCGGAGGGATACTCCAGATGCTCCAGAGGGAGGTGCAAGATATTAATACTTGAGGATCACAATATTGATATTGAATATGCTATGAACATACCCTAAGTTTCATAAAGTCAGGGAAATGTATTCTTTATAGCTATAAAGATGAAAATAATGCTGCTGTGGTGTTAAGAGCCAGGGTAACTAATTAATCTAAAAAGAGGAAATGTTGGAGAAACTCAGCAGATCTGGCAGCATCTGTGGAGAGAAAGCAGAGTTAATGTTTTGGGTCCAGTGATGGTTCTTCAGAACTGGAGTTCAGATACTGTGAGCATAGTGCATCTTCTTTAGACTACCTCCAATGCCAGTATATCTTTCTTTAGATAAGTTCACAGTATTCCAGCTATGCTCTGACTACTGCCTTATATAATTTTAACAAAACATCCCTACTCTTATGGTCCATTCCCATTGGAGCAAAGGCCAACATTCCATTTGCCTTTCCTATTACCCATTGAACTTGGATGACGCGCTAGCTTTTTGTGATACATAGATTGGGACTCCCAAAATAGTAGGTTGCATAGCTTTCTGCAATTTTTCTCCATTTAAATAATATCCGACTCCTCTATTCTTCTTGCCAAAGTGCATAACCTCACATTGTCCCATATTATATTCTCTCTGATAAGCTTCTGACCACTAGCTTAACTTGTCCATATCATTCTGCAGACTGTCAGCCTCACCAATTGTCTTCCCAAATATTTAGTACATTCACTTTCCTCATCCAAGTCATTCATACATATTGTAAATAAATGTGAGCCCAGCACTGATCCCTGTGGCATACCACTGGTTACACAATACTTTCCTGAAAGTGCCCCTTACCTCAACTCTGTCTTCTGTTAGCCAATCCTTCATCCATGCTAATATACTACCTCCAACACCATGGGTTGTGGCTTATTAAGTTGGTTAATGTGTGGTACCTTGTCAAACACCTTCTGAAAATTCAAATATTTATGACATCCACCCTGTTTCCCCTTTATCTTTCCTGCTCGTTACCTCCTGAAAAGAATTCTAGTCAACCATTATAGCTGCAACAGAAATGAACTGAAAGGCCGTATTACCCCAAAAACCCAGTAGACTATGATGCTGGCCCTCAAGAAGGGGCTTACAGTGGGTGCAATCTTACGATCATTAGATCCTCCTTGGGCCACAAGGCAAGAGACTGTCATCTTGACTAGCTTGCCCTTTGAATAAGATGAGTTCCTCCTGCTCCAACTTCACGAATTGGTGGGATGGGGCAATAAGGCCAATTTCAATCAGCTTCAGAGAGACCAGGCTCCTTCCTGTGCCAAATCTTCATAGAATTAGTATATCAGGAAGTAGAAAGGGATCTCTAATGAGCGCGAGTGGGGACTACCATCTTCTACATGGTAGATGATGCCACCTCTTTAGGGCAGGGGAGGCAGACAGCAAAGAAGGGGGGCAGAAGGCAGAAGAAGTGAAGAGGAGAGGGTGAAGGAATGTAATGGAAACAAACAGAAAGAAAATTAGATAAACACCTGAAGAGAGCAAAGGTACTAGGCTAAGAGGAAAATGTAGGAAAGTTGGACTGGCAAAGTTGATCTTGCAGAAGACTACATGTACAAAATAAACTGAATGATTACTGTACAGAAGACAACGACTGAATGATTCTATGAAAAGGGAGTGAGAAGGAAGAAGTGGGCACAAGGCAGGATGAAAAGGAAGGGGATATGGAAGGAGAGACATTTGATGGAGGAGAGGGAAAGGAGGTAAAGGAAAGAAAATAGAAGCAGTGGGAGGAAGAAAGAAGTAGGGGAATGCAGAAAGAAAGAAAGATGAGAGGAAAAGAGTGAAGAAAGAATTGAAGAAAGGTAGTAAGAAAGGAAAACAGAAATGGTGTCCGTTCAAGTTAACCTTCTTATGACAACGAATTAAAAAACAAACTTCACAATCATTAATTAAATCTGAACTATTAAACCATAAGAAAAATGAAAAAATCATTTGAGTTGCATAACAGCATTATTCAATTTTTCTTCATCTTCTGTAAGGTCTAATTCTTAATACACTAACATATTGTAAATGCTACCTTTACTATTAAAGAATTACAACTAAATGTTTCCTCATTTAATTCACTCACCCCCAGAAAGATCTGCTGCCAGTGCATCTGCAGTAGAGGCTGCTAATAGCTGGAACATCTCACCTACATAAACAAAATTCCATGAACTGTTAAATCTACTATCACAGTGTCCCATTTAACTTACAGAAAATTGTAATTTCAGGATGTGTTAAATCATTCAAAGCTAAGCATTGCTTATTGAAATAACTTCACAGAGGCCTGTATCCTGTCACCAGGTCACCCTTTATTCACACGTCGAGAGTCCCTGACACTGATCCAACTTCCTCAGAGTGAATGGAACCTCTGACACTCCTGTTTATATCTGTCAGCCAGGACTTCCCGATTGAGGCTGTTAATCTGGTCCAATCAGGGAGCATATATTCCAAAGTCCACGCAGCTGACCTAGTTACAATCACTACATCCCTTCCCCACCACCGTGTCCGAGGACATAGGCTGTTTTTTTTTCTTTGCAGCTCCTCCTGGGGTGTTTTAGCACTGTGTCTCTGCCTCTGATTCAGGCAGCATGTGATGCACAGTAACTTGCCTCAAGTCCGGGGTATCTCAGAAGAAATTAAATCTCTTCTTCAGGTGGCAAAGGTAGCAAGGTGGAGACATCTGACGTGTCCACTTCAGATTCTGAGGTATCCTCAATGCTTGACGGAGAGGGAGAACACCCAAGTGTTCTAAAAGAGTCGGAAAGGCTGTCAAGAAGCTGGGCACATTTTGCTCCTGCACTATTTGCAAGTTTGATATGGTCCACACGCATGTTCAGGACCATCACACCTACTCAAACTTTGTACATCACTGGACCTGACCTCACATCAACCACAAACAAAAACAAAGTTGCTGGAAAAGCTCAGTGGGTCTGGCAGCATCTGTGAAGAAAAAAATCAGAGTTAACGTTTCGGGTCCAGCGACCCTTCCTCAGAACTCAACCATAACATCTTACCCGTGCAGGGCCATTCTCTTGGTTCCTACACCAAACTTCAACCCCAGAAGTAAACTGTTTCTCTCTTTTAGTGGAATCTTGTGTTCGACATTGGCATTTCTGAGGTCATTTCACCCTCCCCCTCCTAGGTCCAGGAAGATCAGATTTAACCTGGTGCAAAGTCTTCTCCCCATTAGCAACTCTGCTGGAGTTATCCCTGTCCTTGCATGAGTGGTGGTCCAATAATCAAATAGGAACTGGGACAGTTTCGTATCTAGTGAAGCTGTAGGTTGTTTCCTAAAGCCTGCCTTCAAGCTTAGACTGCTCTTTCTGCCAGACCATTGGATGATGTATGGAATTGTCCTTGTATGACGAGTACCATTTGACTTTGGGAAATACTCATATTCCCTGTCTGTAAACAATGATCTGTTTCTGAGAGTCGGTATACTGCAAAAGACGTGCACAGTTTTTCTATCATTATTCCCATGTTTGGTGAATACACTCTATGCACGTCCAGCCACTTTGAGTGGGTGTCCACAATAACTAAGAACATGGAGCCCATGAAAGGACCTGCATAGTCGGCATGTAACCAAATCCAAGGTTTACCCGGCCATTCCCTCGAATATGAGGAGCTGCTAGGTGTAAATTTTGTCCTCGTTGGCACTCTGGTCACTGCCCCACCAACGCAGCTGTGTCTGCATCCAATCCTGGCCACCAACCATAATCCTTGTCAACATGTTTATTTTGGAAACCCCTAGATGTCCCTGGAGGAATTCAGTCTGTATCTGGCAGTGACCTTTGCTCAGGACAATCATTCTTGCTCCCCATAATAATATGCCATCCTCCACTGTGATCGGATCTCTCCAGGTGCAAAAAGGTTTCAATTCTGATAGTGACAGCCCCTTGGTTTACCCCATCACTACCAGCAGTTTCAGTTTTGCCAGGACTGGATCTTTCTGTGTCCAAAGTCTGATATTGTCAACTGTGAGTGGAAGTGTGTCCAGAAAATTTTAAGCTATTACCAACTCTTCAAGTGGCCATACCACCAGTGTATGATTCAATGCGTCTGCACTTGTTATTTGGGCTCCTGGATGGTGTTCCAACCTGTAATTATACACACTTAGTATTACAGCCTACCGCTGTATTCTGCCTGAAGCTTTGGGCGGCACTGCCTTTCCTCTTTAAGTAGGCCTTTGTAGGCAGGGTTTTGTGGTCCATTATTACAAATTTACTTCCTGACTCCAAATATAACGGTCAAACATTCCTTCTCTATCTTGGTGTATTTACGCCCTGCATTAGCCAAAGTCCTGGATGCATACGCTATTGGGCGTTCATCTTCATTGCTGTAGTTGCTGCCGATATGTAGACTTGAGACAGCAAAAGAGTTGGTCTAGACCTAAATTGAGCAAGCGAACTCAAAACAAAGAACGCTTTTTTTTTTAAAGAGTTGATGTTAAGGTGACAGGATGGAGGCCAGCCCAAGGAAAGACCTAAGCTCCAGTACAGATATGGGAGCCAGGGCACCTTTGATCACACCCACTTTATTTTCCAACGAATGTAACCTGGTCTCGTCAACTCTGTAGCCCGAGGTTGTCACTTGGGGTGCCTGGGCACACATTTTTCCTTTCCAAGATGTATGCCCACCTGGGCGAAAAATCTAAGGATTATGTCCAAGTTCGCTAAATGCTACTTATTGGTTATTAGCACATCATCTAGATAAATGGCAACCTGGTGTAGGCCTTGTTAAATGTTCTCCATCACCCGCCAAAAAATTACACAGGCTGACAATACCCCAAATGACTGTCTTGTGGACTGGTACAAACCGTTATGGGCATTAACTATAGTATATTTGTGGGAATACTCGTTTAACTGCAATTGCAAGTACACATGATTCGTGTTCAGCTTCGAGAAGAACAGCCCCCTTGCTCAAACTTAAAGGTTGAAGTCCAGAGTGAATTTTGTTAAACATTTATTCTGCAATCACTGAAACACCCTCACCGGAATTTACTTCCATTAAAACTGGGTGACCACTTACTCAGATGTTTATTTTGATTGGTTCTGATTTGCTAAGCGATTTAACTGTTCCAAACCAGATGTAGGTGAATTTTACAGGATACCAGCCTATGAGTTCTCTTACTCAATTTAGGTCTAGACCAACTCTTTTGCTGTCTCAAGTCTATGTATCGGCAGCAACTACAACGGCTTGTTGGCCCAGATCCTGAAGAAAATTTTAACTGTTTGGCTGAGGCTTGGCTTTATTTTGGGGTTTTCTGTGGGCTGACCTAGAGTCTGTCTGTTCAGGATATGTCCTGAGTGAGGTTATGCAATTGCCTTCACTCAAGTCATGTCCACTAAACTCAGATGGCCTAGCGAGGTTGTCCATTTCCGTCAGCATACCCTGTAACTCATATGTTCCACTTGCCGCGTTTCTAATGACAAAGCAAATTGTAATGCCTGTTTGAAGTCCAGTTGGGCTTCAGCTAGTAGATGCTTTTGCATGGTTACATCGTTAATCCCACATACCATCTCATTAAGGGCTAAACCAAAATCCTATGCCTCTGCCAGTCGTCTTAACCTCATCAAAATCCTGACATGGATCCCCCTGGTTCTTGAACTGCTGAGTAAAATCGCTAGCATCTCTGAATTAGAGGCGGCTTGGGCTCATAATATTCCTTAACTAAATCTGTCAACTCTTGAAAGGCTTTAGTATCCTGTGCCTCAGGAAACGTAATGCTCCTAATAACCGAAAAAGCTGCAGGTCCACAAGCTATCAAGAGAATTACTCGTTGCTTTTCATCGGCCCCAATGTCATTTGCCCGGAAAAAATAATACATTCTTTCCAAATACTGGGCCCAGTTTTCAACTGCAGGATTGAACAGGTCAAGCTTCCCAAACAACAGCATAATGCCAGAAATGCTTGCCCCAACTCAAAAGACTGTTGTGAGTGAATTTCTTCAGGAGTGTGCTTTTCTCTCATCACCACTGAAGCAACTCTACGGAGTCCAGTATCCCGTCAGCAAGTCACCCTTTATTTATATGAGGAGAGTCCTTGACACTAATCCAGCTCCATCAGAGCGAACAGAAAGGCTGAGGCTCTTGTTTATATCTGTCAGCCAAGGCTCCCTGATTGGACCAGAGTAACAACCCCAAACAGGGAACTCATTCTATGAGGCCCATGTGGCTAACCTCATTACAATCACTACACTTGCGTAACTAATTTACTTGAAATCACTTTCTCCTATAAGTTATGCTCACTTGTAACACAGAAGCTAAGGGACAGGCAAGAAGCCAACATAAATTGGTTTAAAACTGGCTGACAAATTCCTGGCCAGGCAAGCTACAAGATATAGACAGACTTTTGATGCATGGCAAAGCAGGGGGTGAATAATTATTCCTATCTTCCCTGCATAAAGAACTTACTAGGATTAAATCTGTTGTTTTGTAAGGAGTCTCTGATTCCTTCATATGTGGCACAGTGGCTCAGTGGTTAGCACTGCCTCCTCACAGAGCCAGGGACCCAGGTTCAATTCCAGCTTTGTGTGACTGTCTGTGTGGAGTTTGCACATTCTCCCCATATCTGCATGGGTTTCCTCCAGGTGCTCTGCATTTCTCCCAGTCCAAAGATGTGTAGGTTAGGTGGACTGGCCATACTAAATTGCCCATTGTGTCCAGGCTAGGTGGTTTAGCAATGGGAAATGTATGGTTACAGGGATAGGGTTGGGGGCTGGGTCTGGATGCGATGTTCTTTGGAGGGTCAGTGTGGACTAGATGGGCCAAGTGATCTGCTTCCACACTGTAGGGATTTTATTATTCTAGGTTGAACCACTCCAATCCACTCTCCTATTTCATTCTGTTTGCAAACAAACATTCATTGAGCAACTAGTGATCATCTTAACTAGATAAGATAGGATAGGATATGAGATATGTGAGCCTGAAGCAGTTTCATATTTGCCAAGGAAAGTTGGAAAGTAAGTTCTCCATGATAGACTCATTAATCCAATATCTGAATTCAACTTGTTGCGTATCCAGAGCTGCTTCAAGTAAGAACAGTTCTACAATATAAATACAGTATTAGATAAGAACATAAGAAATGAGTAGGAGTAGGCCATCTGGCCGATCGAGCCTGCTTCAATAACATAATGGCTGATCTTTTCGT